TTCATAACTTTTATTCCGATTTCGTGATATAATTTGATCATAATTTTTGCTTTTTTGTATAGCAACAAGTATGACCAAAATATATATATATTGTTGTCAAATAAATCGATCTCTGTGCTAACAATAAAGAAGAAAAAATTTAGCACGTAGGGTCCCTTTGAATATCGCTTTTAAGCTTTAAAAAGCGGTCGGGAACGGTCCTGCATGCTAATGGCCCATAGACAGTCCTGCAGGGCCCCGTATCTCGAAAGCATTGCTTATTGAGAATAGCTATATATATCACATAGAGACTACAATATCATTTTTATATGGGGCGAGTATGGACGAGTTATTGGATCGAGATGCTTGCTCTCGGTCGCAATGCGTGATACTTTCGAGTTACGGTTTTATGAAAAAAAATGTTGCCGCTCGACTAATTGCAAATCGAAGTCACCTCTCCATTGGTCCCAATTTGTTCTCTTTCGTTTGGTTCTGTCGTGATCTTTGTTAGTTTTATTTCTTTCCTCAATTGTTTTTCTTTTGTGAACTTCTCTATCGGACTTGATAGAATTTTTTCATTTTTGACAGCCCAAGATGAAAGCACGTGGGAAAAGAACTACATCTGACGCACGGCGTAAACTCGTACGTTCACTCATAATTTTGGGATTCAAATTTTTTGTAAAATTCTCCTTTTATTTGCCTCCATTGCCTTTATTACTGTTGATTATAAGCACTTTATGTACCTATAAGTCGATTTAATCAATATCCTAACTTTTTATACTTTCACATTTTTATTACTCTCAACCTACAAATTGCTACTCGCGGTATCTCCTCTACACAAAACAATGACGTAACGTTATCTGCTGTGCACTGAAGCTGGTTAAGAACATTGTGCCTCGTTTCAAATTGTCTTTCAACTTCATATCACACAGACAGAACTTCGAAAACGAGGCCACTGAGAGGGAGACTGTTGGTTACATTTCGATACAACGTTCGATTGCAAGCTATGGTTAGTTCTTTGCTTCTATGAAAGTGGGTGAAAACAGTGAGTTTATTTGATATTTTGCTGAAATCGCTTGTGAACATAGACAAAATAAAAGGTGAAAATAGGCTGTAAAAACAGCCAGCCCGTCGGGCGGATAATCTGCAAATCTTACCCGCCCGGCCTGAAAGTTACCAGCCTCGGGCTGGCGGGCAGGCGGCCATTTCATACACTGCCTCCAGTCAAATTTTACAACTTAGATGTCCATAATAGATCATCCCGACTCTAAATCTGGGCAAAATGATACGAAACAACGTATAAATCGGCCACTCTTCATTGAGGTACCGACCCAACTTAAGAGTCGTTTATGTAATATTTAAATCCGTACATAAAATTACCAGAAGATAACAAACTAGAAGAATCTACTGCCTACCAGAAAATCATTTACGCAAGTAGAAAAATCAGTTAACAATTCGCCCATAAAAACCACCGAAAAACTAACTGAATACACACCAAAAGGAACACGCAGCTGTCTCTTACAAATCTAACATGGCGGCCTCCATGAAATGCCATGCAGACACACGTGTAACGAAAAAATTCCTAATTCCAATCTTCAGACAAATAACTACTATGTCAACAGAATCTATCTATATCTACAAAAACAGTTCAAACTAAGGAATGTTAATAAATCTAATAAAAGAAAGAAACTTACTCATAAAAAGAACAAATAATGACGGTGGTTGAAATCCACGATCCACATGTGCGAGTGGGAAACCACGACAATGACACGAGACTCTGCGAGATGTGGGACTGCGCTCTTCAGATGTTAAGACGGAGCTTGCATTTAAGACAGAATTAACAATATAACTCACCCTGGGGTTCCCATTCGATGCCACTAGAGACAAGTTCATCACTAGTAATTAACTCAGCACCCTTGTCCAATGAAGGTCTGTAATTGGAAGTAGAGCACATTCTAATAGATTGTTTCATGCACATGGAAAGTAATCAAAATAGTAATTTATACCTAAATACCACCCGAAAGAACAAGCAAATGAACATATTGCATTGCTTCCTACCAACAGGTTTTCACAACTATATACATTTATATATATAAATGTACTAGTACATGTCTCTCTCTTATGTTGAATCAATGCATGGATCATTTCTTTAATAAATTATGTAAGGCTTCATTAAAATCAACTATTCCCTCTACTTTTTATTATCCCATACAAGTGTAACTTTACCTTGCATGCATATATATATAATGATAACAATGATGATATTATCAGAGACCAAGAAATGTTACAGATTACAGGACAATGCATCATTTTCTTCTCACAAACTGCAGTGGGAGACAAAATGAATATACCATAAAGCCTTAAAACTATTAGCAAAATGAAAATTTGCAGATCTGCTTACCTTATGTACTTTTGTAAGGACGGAAATTGATCTACAACACTGCTACTGCCATCACCTTAATAGATAAATAAATACATATATAAATGACTGAATAAACATAAATCCCACTTGTGTAAAGTAATTAAGAAAATAAAGATGCACTTGATATACCTTTGCGTATGTATACCCTCTGTATTTACACCTAGCAAACTCGCTGTTATCCTCATGTAACCTCATGTAAAGCATTTAACAGCCAGAATTTTTTAGGGAATTTATAATGGGCTTACCATAACTGTTTTCAACAATCTCCTCAGGCTCTTTTGTTTTCTGAAAGTAAAGCACACCTAATCAAGCAAAAGGCTTGTAGTTACAAGATGCTCCAAACAACAATTCATGCTTGTACAATAAATCCCTCGAGTACCAAGCTTTTAACAGATTCAGTTGCCTATGTTATCTTTTGGATAGTTTTTATATGATATATTAAAAAAGCGATAACTTTAAAGTATTTTGATTTCATGTATCCATTACCTTGATTCTTTTGTCAACAGGTTCTTCATCAGAATCAAAGAGATAAGGATCATACTCTGAAAGAAAATTACCTTATCAGTGTACTGAACTAAGCATTGCTTCTCACCATGTACAAATGCATACTATGTTACAATAATTAGTAGTAGGTGTTAAAATGGGGTGTGGGGAGTGATGCTGTGTCTCAAGCCCCCCCCCACAAGCCCCTGGCTTCAGTAAAAGTAAGAAAAAAAAAAACTTACCATTGTCGCTCACATCATCATCCATATCCTCCCATGCCTAAAACAAATGCACATTTATAAAGATGCGCACTACTTATTTAATTCAAAACTGGTGTCAGACATCTCTACAGCAGCACTATGATTTTTGAGATATCTAAGGACTTAAGACAGTAGCCCTAAGTAACAGGTTTATACAGGTGTAACACTCTGTGAAAAAACATTTTGCAAAGGAATGCCACAAAAATAAATGGTAATGAGCCATACTGATTAAAAATCAAATTAATATACAATGCAGACATATGCATATTAAAGGTATATAATCTAGGATTTTTTGCAGGTTTTAAGCCCACGTGAAGTACTTAAATCATCTACTCAAGTTCCTATTGAATGTATCTATAATGACAAACTGTTTCTGTAAACTAAGTGTCTGGGTCAGTCTTACAGTAACACAAGCCGAAAGTGATATGGCATGTTTGAAAGTTCTGAACTACTAGTGTAGCACTCAGATTTACAAACATTTTCAAAAATTTAAAAGAGTTATGTTGACTGTCAGGCAAGAAGGATAACATAAAAGTTAGTAAGAGTAAAACATTTCACCCCAGAAAAATCGTTTTTTGCTGCAAAATCCTAGATACCTTTAATCATGTTTCTAGACTAAACACAACAGACAAATAGATACCTTTTTTCCCCAATATAAATTGTTTGAGTTGCCATAATCATACACAATTTCATCCCCTATGTTGATCTCTTTAAGAGCAAAAAGCACTAAATGTGGAGCAGCTGGTCTTTTTTTATGTACAGACACAGATGTGTTTGTACATATAGCCATCATCTGCGTCTGTCGTCGCCGTCGTCGTCGCCGTCGCCGTGCACTTTTAGCTGCCTTGTTTTTTTTTTGTCAGTGTAATTTTACGTACTGCTGCGTTTGGTTTTGGGCTATCGTTAACCATTCTTCCAGCCCTTGAATAAGTTTCTGTTAGATCAAGACTGAAAAAAATAATCAAATACTAACAGAAAAGTGAAAATGATAAATAAAATAATGATAATAGATTATTTGAACATTTACATCTTAACCATTTTAATTTAAAATATATGGGAACATTATGTAGCAACCCTGTGTAAAAAAATAAAACATTTACCATAATTTTCTATCTTCATGTGTGAAAAAAAAACAAATAACAGTGTCGACTAGACTGTTGATACCTGAGTGATTTCTCTCTCTGTTTAGCTTCCTTCTGAGAAATCAGCTCTCCACAATACTCTAGCAAGAATTCTCCTTCTTCAAATTTCTTTGTTGCAAAAACACCAGACCCTGGAATTAGAACAATTAAGTTTTCATCTTCACCTGAATACATTTGAGCTTATTTCTCCATTTTTACTTAAAATATGACTGATTTTCCTTCCCAATACTGTACAAACACAAAAGAAAAAATAAGTTAGCAAATTTACAAACTATTTTTTTTTTTTTTGAATAGCTGAGACATTGATAAAAGTCACCATGTAACTTAATTTTGATAATCATCGGAAATTAGAGAGTTGCGGGTGGAGGTGGGGTATACTGCAAAAGTACCGAAATTTCAGTTGAAACAGGTAATATAAAAGATTATTTATGCATACTAGTAGGCTATTGGCTTAAAAAGAGAAATATTAAAGAAGGAATAAATTAAAGTTATAACTATTATCCTGAAACAAACTGTGTAAGAGACTAGATCAGTGCTGGATGAAAATCAGAAATCTAATACACATGATAAATTAGCAGGTGGGAGTATACTAGTATTTTGAGAACCTAATACAGAGGATGCTGAAGTAGAAGTTCCCATGGACAGTAATATATGCTTATTGGCTTTAAATACATCATATTTTGCTTTATTCTGTACACTGTATCCAGTAGGTCTTTTTACTGAATTAAAATTGGTTGAAAAAATTAGAGCTGCAATTCTTAAGTGTTGGAAATTCTGGGCACTCTCAAAACAAAGTCTCAAAATTTGTTTAAGGATAATAAATAAATAATAAAAATGTATATAAAGCTGACAAACCCTACAATATTCTGTTTAACATAGCTACAAAATAAGCTAAAGATCTGTAAATTTGCATAAATTGCATTTGCTTATATAACCATCATGACCAAATTAAAAAAAAAAAACGCGTGAAATGGCAATAAAACTAAGTTACATGTGCATCAAGGAATATTATAATTTCATATCTTATACTACGATTTTTTCACAGAAGTCGATCATTAACACGCAGTAAATCTCCTCACATCTTCTCTAATTATAAAGATACGATGAAAACGTGAACTTACCAACGTTTTTCCTCTCAGAAGTGACATCTTGTGCGGCAGTCACGTACCGGTAGCCATGCCATCAAATGCATTGCGCGCCAGCGACCTATATCATAAAGGTCAAGGTCATTGCTGACTTTCTCTCTCCGAAGGAGAAGAAGGTGGCATGTCAAATATCGATCTTGTAAAAAATCCGCGTTGTAAGAAACTGATTGTGCGAAGGGATAGCTATGTGGCTAAATAACACAGATGCCAAGAGATAATTTCGATATATAGCGTGTCTTGAAAATTATCGTCGATTTTCCAACGGTGTGCCGTAGCGTGTCTCATAAGTTTTTGGTATTAACCCATTACAGTGATGTCATATTTGCTCCGTAACACTAGTCCAGCAGCCATACTGGAGGGAAAGAACGACGGGGATTAGTAGCGTAAATATAGGTAAACCTAATAAAATAAACTAAACTTCATATTGCGATCAAGTACACCAAAAGGAAAAGTGTATATACATGTGAAAACTACAGCTGATCAGCGTGATCGACCCATATAAACTCAGGACAGCCCAAAGACGAGAAATCCTGACTTATCCCAACATCGTGAAGCTAGTTCAGTTATCTTGTACTTCATTTTTCTTGCTCACTGAATAATAACAGTTAATAGTTTTAGAGAGTTTAATGTGTAATCATAAGTTCAACCTTTCATATAAGCAACTTTTTACATAAAGGATAGATGAAAGGAGAAATTTGAGCTGACCATTGGGATCGACCATTTAGGACTCAAAGAAGACAGTATGCAGGGTTTTCTTATAACAAGAAATATTGCTGTCAGATATGATTTAACTGAACATCATGAAGCTGTCAGAAATTATTCTTGTACTTCATTTTGGTTCATTAGGAAGTACCGGTACATGTAACATGACTGTTGTTTGAGAGTTCAATATTTTATTATGAATTCAACCATTCACATTAGCAACATTGTTAGCATTTTATTATTAGTCCAGACATTCACAGAAGCAAGGCATTTTTCAAACTTATTAATTTATGATATCCAATGTAGCATAACAAGTCAGTTCATGAATTGATCTTCATTTGATTAAAAATATAGGAAAATGCACATTTTGTATGAATAAAAGTAAACATAAAATGCAAAACATTGTTGACATTGTTGCACAATTCAATGACAGATTATCAGGGTCTCTTTCCTTTCGGTTGATAACACCGACATGAAAAATATTTCCATACTTTTAATGATGCAGTGCAACATGTACATGAGCATATTAAGTCGAATCAAGTCACTATAATCTGAGAAACCTGTTTGGCATATTTTTATCTGTCTAGAGAAATGCTTGATTGAAGACTCACAATTGATATGTGCTGTGTGCAATAATTGTGTGTAGGTATGTACATATAAGTCCTTAGATGGTGTTACTAAGCAGTTTGTAATTTCATTTAGGAGAATTCCACAACTGGTGGTCACAATTTAAAAAATGTGCAACCTACAAGAGCTAAATCTTTTCTTGATACAGGACAGCCATCTGTTTCTGCATATCAGACCATCTGTGAGAAGTGCAACATACAAAGTATTATATTTCTTGCGAACTTTTCCATTTAGCATTTAAAATATGAGAAAGAAAAAGTGTTTTCATTTCTTCTTGTGCTTCTGCTCACAATTCTAAATAAATAGAATACCTATCCTTGTTGTATGCAAGCTATCAGGATAACAACTTTAAACGACAAATGAACAATTAAATAAACAAACAAATCCAATTAAATAACTCCTGTCATGCACTGAAGTTCACTCTTCTGATGTTCAGATCCTGTCTCCTCAGGTGGTCACAAAGATATAAGAATATTATATCGCTGCTTCTACCTTGTGTGCCATCTAGCTGCCTTTTTGTACCTGTCACCTGTTGTTGTTGTTGTTGTTTTTATTTTATTTTATTTTATTTTATTTTATTTTATTTATTTATTTATTTATTTTTTCATTTTTTGATAATCAAGATTTACTTGCACCCAATCATTCAGTGTGGCTTGGTGGGAAAATGCCAGATCAATTTCCTAAATGCAAATTAACAAAAAAAAAAAAAAAAAAAAAAAGTAACAATAGTTATTTTTATTCATATTGTAACTTGAAATACAGTAGGAAAACACAGAATTTAACATTTTTCATATTCATCTTATTAAGTTATATGTTAATTAAATGATACCTGAGCTAGAATATATACTTACAAAACAGATTTACTCTTAACACTACACCAAATCTAAAGTCAAGCCACTAACTTCCAAATACACATGACACAGGTAATTGATTTAATTGGCCCAACTGAGCTGTGTTCAAATGTACATTGTACTGTAGCCTTGACCCTAATTGACAATAATGCTAACCAGGTATTTAAGAGGTAGATGACAGCAGATAAAATCCGAAGAGCACCATAACTGATAACAAATTACACCCAAGGCAATGAAGTGAGTCTTCATAATGAAAGTCGAAACCTTGCCTGGGTATTTCCACACGTTTTTAC